AAACTGTGAAGTTGGACTTTGCCTTGAACCCCGTTTTGAACTCTATCATACTAAACTGCATTTTTAATGTATTTTTCCCTCAGTGCTTTATATTTTCTTAAATTTTATAATTCTACCTTTTATATTATGCAATAAATAGAAATTAACTGTAATTCGACTGAAATTTATTAAAAAAAATTTTTTTTGGTGATAACATTTAAAAATTGGTATTTCTGGCAACTTAGTTTCTCATGATAAAAATCTATATAAAAAATATTTTCTAGAAAGAAAAAATGCATTTTTCAATTCTCCAATATATATAGATTTAAAAATTGCAAAAAAAAAAAAAAAAAAAAAAAAAAAAAAAAAAAAGAATTACACAATTTTTGAAGCGATTTCGGTCCACAAATTGAGCAGTCAGAGGGTTAATCAATACTTGCAATTTTAATATTTACTTTTACACAAATTAAATAAACGTTGGTTCTTGTAATATCTTGCACACGTTATTTAAAAAAAAATCTCTTCTGACGTACTGTATGAAAATCCATTTCGTTTCATCATTCGCCGCAACCAGCCTTCACTCACTCGCCTTGAATTGCGATGTAGGAGTGTCTTGCGCACAGCTCCAGTTCCAATGTTAAGCCGCGAGTAGCTTGCAAATTTGCTCGCTAAGTTGCTACTACGTCCGGAGGACAAACTAGGAGGTGAAAATGGCGTGACTAATAGTCACGTGTGATGCGGCAAAGCATCGGGTTGGCTGTCCAAGAAGAAGTATTTAAAATAAACTTTTACATGCAAAATTACTAACAAAATGGCATGTAATATCAAAAGAATAATGTGGAAGCATGACATTGAAGATGGCGTAGATGTATCATCAGTAAAGGCATTACGTACAGATAATATAGACAGGTAACTTAATATGTACAGGTCTCGTGATCAGAAAAATTTCAAAAGCTCCATGCTGGTACATAGTTAATACATTGCAGTAACTCATAAAATGGCATGAAAGTAATCAGGATATATAAAATAGGAGGAAATCCTATAGGGGAGAGTAGCCTAATTTGAACCAATTTTGTATTTTTCACTATAGAGAAAGACGGAAGAAGTGCCAATAAAAATTAAGTAGTAGAAAATAAACTCACTAAGTGTACCCTCAAAATAAAACCATTTATTAAATTTTAAAAATTATTTATAACGGTGAAAAATGAATTAAAAAAAGTCGTGTCATCGGTTCAATTTAGGAAACCGATCTCCTTATTTGGACCGCTAGTTTCCTAAATTGGACCATAAGCTTTCTTAACGGCAATTACAATGAAAGAACCATTTAATTGCAGCACTAACTCCAGCACACCGAGTATGTATCCAAGCGTGACATTTCATGCATTGTATCAGTTCTTCTTCCTTGGTTTCTTCACATAATATACAAAACCATGAATCACCAGTTTCTTTTTTATGTTTCTGCATTTTGTTAAACTTTGGTGAACTGATTTTTTTTTTAAAGTTTTGGTATAACCGCGATTTGTAAGGGCTACTTGTTATTTCCATTGCTTTCTGGGCTATTGGTGCACTGCGAGAAGACGGAGGGCTAGTTGGATTTAGATTTTTCTTTGCTCGCGGTGATATTTTTTCAAGAACTGTCCTAAATCCTTTATTTTCGTTATCACTTCTATCTTCATCATCATCACTACTAGAAGGTGAAACAGGGGTTCTGCAATTAGCTTTTAAAATAAGTTTTAAGCACGCTTACGCATACTTCGTCTCGGAGACGAATGGTTGCCATTCCCGTAAATTTTTCGAAGGGTAGCATTCTAGGGTTAATTATAATTTATCCATGAAAAAAATGTCGTTGACGAAATTGGACCGGTTCAATTTCGGCAACTGTTTTCGGTCCAACTTGAGATGCTTGATATTGTACAGAAACGTCAAACTAACATAACCTCGCAAAATTATAATTGCATATTGTAGGTAAATAAGCAAGTTTTGTAATGGTATAATAAGACATGTAATTACTTACGTTTAGACGAATTAACTGCTTTCACACTTATGTCGAAATAACAGATTTTCTTCTTAGTTCTTTAGAATAACACTTCTCTCAATGTAATCACGAGGCGTTTTTTTTACAAACACAGTTGCATTAATTTCTTCTACATCTACGTATAACAAAATGCCTATCTCAAATCTCGTAGATATCATCAGTCTTTGTATATCATAGCGGTCCAAATAAGGCTACGGTTCAAATTAGGCTACCTCCCCCTATACATACGTACAAGAATTCTGTACCATGGGTAGCAGATACAGTTCGGAGGGGGTCACGTGGGGTGGTCACCCTCTTAACCTCAGACCCTGGAGGATGCTGCTTGAAAAACGTAAACAGCACACTCAGTTACTCAGTGATGATCCGCACAGTATTAAGTTAGGAAATTGTGATTCCCATCATTCTGAGTGATAAAATACGCAGCATAAGGGCTTAAAAACTTATCCTCATTGAGGATTTCGTAGTGGAACAAGTTAGAGTGTTGCAAATATTCACAATCGAGTGCTCCAGCGTAAAAGTTTCTGTTCAGCCTGTGCAGGAAGTCCTTTATACTCTGCTGGCCGCCCAAATTGCAACACCAAGAAAGACAAGAGATACCACAACAAAATTTATTTAGTAGATAACATGTTGACCAAGTATCAAATGATTAAATTTATAGACTTCTGTGAAGTGTGGTTCCTTCTAGAATCAGTAGCCAGAGTAGCCTCCATTGTTGGAGATCACCGCTGCCACACGCCTCGGCATAGATTCAGAGAGACTTTGGATGTGTTCTTGTGGTACAGCAGACCAAGCAGCTTTCACATGTTGCCAAAGTTGATCTGGTGTAGCAGCTTGGGATGTAATCTGGGTCAATCGTTCAGCAACCATGGACCACATGTTTTCTATCGGCGAAAGATCCGGAGAGCGAGCCGGCCAGGGAAGCAATTCAATCTGGCGATTGACGAAGAACCCTTGGACAATGCGTGCCACGTGTGGTCGCGCATTATCCTGTTGAGATATGGCTGTGGGCAAGCCCTGAAGGTAAGGAAGGACAACTGGCTCTAACAGATCGGAGATGTAGCGCTGGCTGTTTAAAGTACCGGCAGTGTGTATTAGAGGAGAGCGAGAGTGATATCCAATACCACCCCGTACCATAATACCCGGTGCAGGACCAGTGTGGCGGGCATAACGCAGCTGTTCAGCATCCTCTCTCCACGGTGTCTGCAGACTCGAATCCGACCATCCTGGTGTTGCAGATAGAAGCCTGACTCGTCAGTAAAGACAATTTTATTCCATTCTGCCGTTCACATCCTTCTTTCATCGCACCATTGGCGGCGAAGACGTCTGTGGTTCTGCGTCAAGGTTAGACGAAGCAATAGACGAAGACGTCTTGCAGACAAACCACTCTGCTGTAAACGGCGTCGAATGGTACGCGCAGACACTGGATGATGCGTTACAGAGTGAATGTGCTGTGCTGTGGTTCGTGATGTGACTGAGCGATCCGTCACTGCCATGCGCACAATATTCCTGTCATCACGTGAAGTGGTGCACTGAGGTGGATGCGATCGAACGCGTCGGTCCGTTTTACCCTCCTGCATCCAACGCTCACATTTCCGCATTACAGCTGTTTGGTTTCGTCCAACACGACTACCGTTTTCCCTGAAAGATAATCCACACTCTTGGTAGGCAACTATCCTTCCTCTGTCGAACTCGGATACTTGATCAAACGATGATCGCTGTTTACTACGAGGCATAATTGATCGTTTTTTTGAAAGAAAAGAAAAAAAAAAAAAAAAAAAAAAAAAAAAAACACAAGGAAAACACAATTGCTGAACTTGAAAGCGTCGAAAACTCCAAGCCTTAAATAGCGCTTTGAAGTGGCGCCACAGGCGCGCGTGATTTGCGTCTGCGCTGAAATTCTAATCATTTGCATATCTCACCTCCGCTAATGCATGTTTTAAATTTCATGTTATTTACATGCTTCCTTCAGGGTGTTGCATTTACGGTGGCCAGCAGTGTAGTATCCAATTTTAGGTCATGATGTGAAAGGTCGTTACGGACAAAGCAGTGTGCATTCGTGATAATGCGTAAGTACTTGTTTTGAATGATTTGCAATTTCTGGATATCTGAGTCTTTGGCAGCTGCCCAGGCTGGTGATGCGTAGCACATGATGGGGCGTATAATTGAGGTATAAATGAGTTTCTTTTTGGTCAGATCGAGTTTAGAGTAATTCCCGATAATTGGGAAGAGACATTTCATGACTTTTAGAGCTTTATTTCGGATGTTGTTGATATGACTGGTCCAATTGCGTACACACTTTTCGTCCACCTTATTATACTCTTGCTGCTGCTCTTTTTCCATTTTTCTCTGCAAATTCTACGACTTTCAGTTTAAAAGCCGCTGTATAGCTTTTGTATTTTTCCACGCTACTTGCTAACTACAATGAATTCCAAATGATACTATGAATGAAAAGAGAAAGCTTGAAATATGGGAAGGCTCCAAGGAGGAAGGAGGAGAATGTAATTTCATTACAAAACAGGATTTCCTGGAAGCCAGTGTAATGAAAACCTGTTTGGACTGCTTTCATTTATTGTCGCGTCTGCCGACTGGATTGCTGGCGCCGATGTTATGACTAAATAACAGCTGCACCAGACTGCAAGGAAAGTCTCTGCTTTCCATCCTGGTGCCAAACAAAGACTAAACAAATGCATATTCTTTCTTTAAAGGTGTTTATTGACTAATAGGGAAAAGGCAATTCTAAAAATAAGTATATTTTAAAGTAAGAAATCTTTAGTTTTGGGGGTGTAGACATTGCGCGGGTGCCTTTTTTTTTACATAAATTTTATCTGTAAAGTTGGGATGCGAACATTACATGAGCACGTATAGGGTAACTTGTAAATATCTTCGATCCAGATGATTTCTTTAGTTTATATAGTATACTTGCATTATTATTAAATGTGACATGGAATTATGAGCAATTAATTCTAATAAGTTACTTATTTCTTAGAATTTTTCCTTCTAAAATGGAAATTGCATCAATATGTGCGGAGGCTGAGCGTTACATCGGAACCCAAGGAGGTGGCATGGATCAAGCAATTGCTTTTTTGGCTGAGCCAGGTAACGAAATGCACTAAAAATATATTAAACTATGCTCTCTTTTTCTTGTATTAGAAAGAAATCCCTTCTTCATTGTATTATTGAAAGAGAGGGGTAACCTCAGTATTTGATTCCAAACGGATTTCTTGTTGGTCTGTGTTATGCCAAATTTAAACTTCTCTGTGAACATACTGATATAGAATAAGCCTGAGTTACTTCAGTTGAAAAAGAAATAATCATGTCTTGTTTGGACATACAAGCTACTATCCTCCCCCCCCCAAACAAAAAATTTTAATAGACCTTAAATTTCTAAATCTTCCAAATGAGCACAAGTGTGATATTCAGTAGCTGTAGCCTCCTCTGCAAAAAGTATGTAAAAACTATTTCAAAAAGAAAGTATGAACTACTCTTTCAGAATATGAATGAATAAAATGAATTTCAGAATGAAAGCGTTTACTGCTATTTCAAAATGAATCATGCCAAGTAATTTGTGGAATACAAATTTAACAATGTTAACATTTCTTTTAAGAAAAATAACTTCAGTTATTAGCTTTACCGTGCATATGTCATCTTTTATCTGAATTCACTTTCAGCATAACAACTTATTTCCCCTACTTGTATCAACCTCCCTCAGTATGATTCAGGATGTAGAGTTGCTGGGTGATCATCTCCTTCCATTTGTGTTTTCCTGTCATTCACATGTAAATGGAGTATTCCAACAAGACAGCTGCAACTGTCACAGGTCCCATTTGTCCACTACCTGCTTGGAAGAGCATTGCTCTGACTTCTCTGTCTTGAATTGGCTACTTAGAAGCCCTGATTTAAATCCTACTGAGTATCTTTTGGATGTTTTGGAGAAATGTGTGAAACCTTATCACAGAACACTAGCGAGCCTCCCTGATTTGTGGACAGCTCTATCTGATGTTTGGCAAACCATTCCTGTAGAATGTTCATGCAAACTTACTGAATCTATGTCTCATTGTGTGGCAGACATTATCAAGGCCAGAGGAGGCCCAACTCGTAATTGACTTGCTAAATTCAAAATTCAAAATTCAAAATTCAGTGGCACTTCTGTGTAAATGCCAATTAGAAGCAGGTCAATGACAGTTTGACATTATAAGGTGGTAAATGTCGACCTTCTCTGGTGAGCCAGTTGTGGAATCAGTTTCTGACTACTGATTCAGTCTTTCAAAGACCTACTGAAAGTATGCCGAGAGTTACCACTTCTAGATATAGCCAGTATTTGCAACTTATTGTATTTTGTAACAGGACTGAAACTCCATCTCAAGTTAGACCTGCACTTATTTCTCCTGTAGAATGGACGGTATCAGCTGTGACAACAGGCATGAAAGTAGTCTGTATGCTAGGTGACCAGCATTGTGTGCCCCACTTACCTCCTGCCACCAGAGAGATTGTTTGAATTGGGCATGCAGTCATGTAAATTGGACTGAAAGTCAGGGATGGTCTGTTTTGTTCATTGATGAGTCCCGCTTTAATTTATAGAGGGATTCTCGACATGTTTATATATGAGGAGAAGCAAATGCTCGATATCTTCCGTCTAACATACAGGAAAGGGATACCTATGCAGGAGGTAGTATTCATGTATGGAGAGACACATAAGCCTGTATGTGATGCAACATGGAATTCTGAATGCTCACAGGTATGGAATTTTGAATTCTGAATGCTCACAGGTATAGAAATGACATACTGGATTCTATTATTCATCTGTATGTTGTTGCAGTTGGCGATACCTTCATTTTGCAAACAGATAATACCCGCCCTCGCATTGCTCGCCTTGAACACCAGTTTCTTAGAGAAGAAACTGTACTACTAATGGAATGGCCAGCATGCTTTCCGGAGCTTAATTCCATTGAGCGTGTGTGAACATTCTTGGGAGGCTATTACTGGCCTCAACCCCTCCCTAAATCTTAGATGTGCTTAGAATGCTTTATGTGATCATTGGGCATTGCTACCCCTGCAGCTTATTGACAGTGTACGACATCGCTGTCAGATCTATGTTACTGTTCACTCATTATTGAGAATTTTTTTTTTGTATTTAGTATTTATGTGCAAATTTAGGAGATTTTTATGTTCCTGTTGATATTACAAAATGTAAATATTGCATAGAACACTTTCCTGTGTTTTTAAGTTACTAGTGGCATAATAAATATTATCACCGAGTTTGGTCCAATTTGCTTGTATACCTTTTGAGTTATCATAGGTTTTCCGTTCGTGGCTTAAATTTTGGGAACCAGTGTATTTTAATGAATTTATAATGGAAGTCTTTTCTTAAAATTAAACCATGCTATTTATCTTATGATGGATTAAGGATTTAAGAAGCATTGGGCATAATAAGCTATTTCCAAGAATTGAATTATATTTTATCTTACTTTACATAATACTGAATTATATATTATAAAAAATGCAGAAATATCAAAACACTGTTTTAGAACTTATCTGTTTGTAAATTTTGTCTTTTAACATTTTGCAAATCAAGCGAATAAAAGCCACTCCTAAGCTATGTAAGGTTAAATTTATCCTGAACACTGACCATTTTCAAGTACATCATTTGCATAAAATAATGGTTAATGGAGGGAAAAAAGTTTTTGATTGACAAGCATTGTTATGTAGACTCTTATGAAATGTCAGTATAGATTTTTTCCAAAAGAGAGATCTTATTCAGCATCTTATTTGGAAAACAGTGCAGGTGCTTCATTATTGGTCAGTGGCCATCTCATAACATTATTTGCATAAGTTAATAGTGTAAAACATTTCCAGTTTAATGATTTTTTATTTTTTTTATTTTCTTGATGGTTTGATTCATTAATTAATAAAATTGTATGTTAATATTTAATAACATGTTTATCATTTGAAAATATATCAGTTAATTGCATAAAAATTCTTCCAGCATATCACATACTAGTGAGTTACAAAAAAAAATATCACCTAAAAACACTAAAGGGGGGGGAATCAGCCTCAAATCATTCTACTTTATTTTGTAACCTACTTCTGAAGACCAGCTGAAAAAAAAAAAAATGTCTAAAATCCCAATTTTTCAAATTAAATATCTCGGTCAATTTTTGTCGTATGGAAGTCAAGCTTTTTATATTTTAATTTTTATAACAAGTAAAACTTTTGCTAAATATGACTATGAGGACCATATAAAAATTTAATTTTGTAAATTTTCAATTTTTTAAAATTAAAAATTGCCCAAACCTGAGTATTTGCATAATTTAAAAACATTTTTATTACTAGGACTATATATATAAGACCAGTAGTTGTGAAATAAGTTTGAATAAGGCTTTTTATGGTATTCCACAAAATTCCTTACCCAGCATTTATTTTTGCAACTCTTGGTCATATAGATATATTTTGAATCACAAAATTGTTTTAAGCAATGCATATTTTGGTATTTTTAAATTTAAAAAATTCTGAAATCTATATTTTTATATATTCCTTCATTCCTTATTGTTATATTTAGAAAAACTTGTAGTCATAAAAAATAAAATACAAAAAGTATGACCTTCCATACATTTCTTCATGGCAGTTTCTTTTTGATGTGTTGGCAATATAATATATCTTATTTGTTTATGATGTATCAAAAATTCGTTTTTAACATACTTTTCAGCATGCAACTGAATCCAGTGTTTAATTCTCAGCAACATTGTAGGCTAACTGCATAGATGTATTTTGTGATTTTAACATATATTTTGTAAATGCAATTCAATTTCTCTTACTAATTCCTCCATGAAGATATCTTTTTCCTTACTCAGATAGCTTTAATAACAATAACCTACTTAGCCGCAAATCGGTATTCTTTTTTACAATAAAAATTATAATAATTCAACCTTTTTTCAAGCTAATGAGAATTAGAGAATATAAACTTGACCTAGTTTTGTAGACTCGATCACCAGTGAGTGGAAAGGGAGTTTGTGTTTTTTAGAATGAAAAATCCAAGTTTTTTTTAATAATAGTTTTTAGTTATGTGTTTAATAGTAGTAGCAATAATATGCATTTTTTGTTTTAAGCTAAGCCTGCAGTGTTGTCTTAAGTTGTTTCAGTTTGCATTGTTTCAATTTCATAAAATAAATTGCAGCTTCTGCATTATTTGAAGAATTTTCAGAATATAAAATTTAAGAACATTATCAGTAGTTCCATTGAAAACAGCAGAAATAAAATAATCGTTTCAGGGAATAAAAATCAAAGAACTTTCACTTTATTGATTGATTGTTCTGTAAAATGGTAAGACATTTAAACCTTTGAACTTCCCTATTGAAATCAAGTGTAGCAAATTCTAATCTATTTCAAGTGATAAATTATCTGCTGAGTGAAAAATTCCCTATATTTTCAGGTACAGCCAAGTTAATAGAATTTAACCCTTTGAGAGCAACCAGTGTAACTCTTCCCAAAGGAGTGGCATTTGTTGTCAGCAACAGCTGTGTGGCAATGAATAAGGCAGCAACATCACAATATAATATGAGGGTCATGGAGTGCAAATTAGCTGCTAAGGTAATATTTTAATTTTGCACAGCACAATTTTTATTAAATCATGGCAGTAATAGAGAGCTGCTTTTAAAATGGATAAGTAACTAATTTTTATGGAAATTTAGGTTAGAAGAGCAAATATGTAGCTTTACATAGTTCTAACTTTCAGGTAGATGTGTTTGAACTGTGAATTATTTTAGTCCAGCAGTAAAACAGTGTTTATCACATATTAATGTTATTATGTTAACATTTTTATATAACTTGTCGCTAAGGTTAATTTGGTGTTTATGTATTCAGTAGGGTTATTTTAAGTGAAAACGAATATTTTTTCAAAAGTCATTATTCAGATAATGCCTCTCATACTTGAAATATTTAAAATTATAATAAATATCAAATTTAGTAGATTATACACTTTTAATAATCTGAATCTTTTTAAAATGCTCACCAACATGGAGGAATGGTATTTTATTACAGATTTCATATAAATATATACCATTTATTTACATGTATCTGTTGAGAATATTTAACCATTCTTTTGCTACTGAAGTTTGGAGATTGGCTTATATACAAAAATTTAGTTATGATTTGATCACAAAATGATATTTTAGATTAAATAATTGAAAAAAAAGTACTTTTTAAAATTTTATTTGATCCTAATATGCATTTTTTCAAATTTCATGATGATTCCTTATTTTTTTCAGTTGATGAGGGCTCATTTTCGGTTTGTGTGGTATATCAAGCTAAGTTAGACAAACTATTATTCATATTTTTGGGAGCATACCACTACATTTACAAGGCTGTTTCAAATTTCAGCTTATATATGAATTTTCAATTTTGTCTGTTTTTTTCACAAAAACTTATCTCTCGTTTCATATATAGATTAGTTTATAGTTTGAAATGCATTAACTGACATTGAAAATGCAAGACCAAGTAGGAGTGACCCAAAAATTATGCAAGTTTCAGGGTAGACTCGCATCACTGAGTTACGCAAGTAATGTGAAATGCACAGCTCTCCAACATATGTTGAAGAAGATATAAGGAAATTAACCTTCAGGCATGTTAAATTTTTGTGCCTCTATTTCTGCTAGGGAAATCATCACAGAAAATTAGTTCTTGTCTCAGAGGACATGTGTAATAATGGAGAATGCCAGGCTGTCATCAACGGAGGCAGTTCCAGCAGGCAGACGATTTTACGAGTGGCATGGTGATCAGACTGAAAAGGGCAGTTTGGTTCATGGGGCAAATCTCAGCTGACACACACCTGGATGCATCCACAGTATATCGGCTGTGTCAATGACGGTTGGAACAAGGAAATGTGGCAAGTTCGAGGAGTGCTGGTGCAGACAGAGTGACGTCAGCTTGTGTGGATCGAAAAGTGGGGGTGCACTCGCAAGCCATTTCTACCTCCATTCTGCAACATGCTCAAGACACCCTGGATGTCCCCATATTGACCAGAACCATTTGCCACCAATTGGTGGCTAGTGGCCTGCACTCGTGGCATCAGTTCAGAAGACTTCCATCTACCCCACATCATAGACTCCAATGTCTGCAATGGTACCTGGCTCGAGCGATGTGGATGACAGAATGGCACAGGATCATGTTCTCAGTTCCATTTCTCCAATGATAGTTGCTGCATACAAATGTGGCGTTGATGTGGAGACAAGTCCAATCCAGCAGCAACTGTTGAAAACCTCACTACGCGATAATGCGACATCATGGTTTGGGTGCAATTGTGTCCCATTCCAGGTTACCTTCAGTTCGTATTTAAGGCACTATGACGGCCCAATTATATGCGGATGATGTGCTGCAGCCGGTGACATTCCCCTACCGTCAGGAAATGCACAGTGACCTTTATCAGTAAGTTAATGTCCAACCACACACTGCTTGCATCTGCCAACATGCTCTGTAAATTTCACAGATTCTCCCTGGCCATCGTTCTCTCCTGATATCTCAATCAATTAAACACATTTAATTAAACACATTTGGGATGTGATTGGATTCCATTTGCAGACCCTGCCTTTGCTGCTTTCAGGAGATGAAATGTGGTAAATGGTTGACAGGGAATGGGCAGCCATTCCTCAGAAGACCATTCGTAATCTCATTGACTCTGTACCTAGACATGTGACTTCATGTATTGCCATCCAAGGTGGTCCTGCAACCTTGATGCTGTTATCACTGTGTATTTTGTATATTGTTTCGAAATAAAGATCACTTATTGTTCATCGCTGTCTCTCTCTGTTTACCAAATTTCATCATTTTCTGGCCACTCCTTCTTGGTGTTGCATTTTCAGTGTTGGGTAGTGTATATGATCATCAGGTTACTTGTGGTTAGTAGACACAATGCAGTCATCGAGCCTCCCTTGGGAATCATTGCAAGATATTTAGTTTTCCATTTAATAATGATGACAAATTGTTGTCATCCTGAGGTTGATGGCCTTCCAGACACTGAAATTTCACTTTATGAAAACTGTCAACTAGTGACATGATTTTATGCCTAATAAATTTTCATTGAGTAATAGGTTTAATGTTTTCTTTACAATCAAGTTTATATAAAATAAAAGAATTTAAGAAACTTCAGCTCCTCCTATCCCCTAAAACACTTTTCACCATTATTTTAATTATTTGCATGAAAAGCAATATCTAGATCAGAAATGATTTGTACGATTCATGCCACCCATGAAAATCCTTAACTTACTAATTACTACTTGAATACTTAATACTACTTGAAAGTTTTTTGTTAACACTGCCATAGGCCCACCAGTGGCCGAGTGGTAATGTTGCTGAGCATTATTAGTTCGGTCCAAGGTTTGAATTCTGTGAATGGACTGGCTGCACATATGTTTTCATGGTTTTCCCCCATGTGTAGCACATATACAAGCCAGTTTCCCTTAGAAAGTCTTTCACAAAGGCATCCCTCTACTTTTGCAGATAACCCTTAAGGCTTTGTAATAATCGTATAAACCAAAACCAACACTGCCATATGTAATTCAGGCATAGTTTTCAATAATGTAATATGTATTCTAAGCATGGCAATAATTCATTTATCCTTCCATGGTAGGGTTAAAAAAGTATTCTTTAATTGAGTATAATATAAGAATTTAAGAGTATAATGCTTGTTATTCTGAAGGTATATTTTTCTTATTTTTGGTGGCAAAATTTCTATTGCTTTAAATGATCCTTGTTAAATAGCTCTTCCTTTTTGATATGTCTTCATGTGTTGGAAAACTAATAGTATAATATCTATCAATGTAGAGATGATATCCTTCAGAATTGGGAATTCTGTTGGCAGTGCTATGATACCTGAAACTGTGGAAAAAATGCAACAGGTTTAACATAAGTGAAATTCATCTTATTTGCATAATATTTGTGTGTACATAGTTTGATATTATGTATTTAATAGTTTGTAAAATTAACCAAAATGCAGCTATAAGTGTAATCTGGATAACTGCCTACTGTACTGCACCTTTCAAACTTTATGTGCATCTCTTATTTTTACATTATTTCTTATTTAGGTACTTGCAGTTTGAGTTAAAAATTAAACAGTGTAATTAATTTACTGAAACTAAACACTAAGAATATTAGACCTCATTCTTATGAATTCAATCTTGCAGATTCCTAGGTGTCAGTAAGCTTTGAAGTTCACAAATATAAACAAAACAAATAAAGACATCTTATTTATTCTGACCAAGGAAGAAATAAGTACAAGTTTGTTATCTACTTTTACTACTAAATAAATTGTTGTCAATTATGACTATTTGTATTGCAATACTGCCAGATTTTGTAAAATAAAAAAAAGATTGACAACTTCTTTGTTTATAATGATATTTTTCCTAATTAACAGGCTATAAAATATGCATAATCAACATACTACACAACTCTATAATTTGCAAAGTGCTACTACGCATTTGTATTATATAGATTTGCTACATATTTATAGCAAATAACAAATATGACATAGCCCTATTACATGTTCATTATATGTACTAAATATTACCTAGCACCAAATTTGTAGACCACACTAGCATTACATTTTTATATTTTTTACTAACTTACATTTCTATTTTGCTGTTTCAAAATCTTTGAACTTGGTCTTTTCCTATAGAGAAAATGCTGCAAGTGATGTATGATCATCTATCATGTCATATCTTTTTTTTTACGGATACTGAAGCATATTGCTATAAAAGTTGTTCAGGTCTTCAGTAACCTTTTTTGGTAATAGCATAGACATTCCATTAATGACTTTTTTACTTTGCTACCAAAAATGTTGTTTTTTCTTTGCCACTGAATTTTAGAGTGAAGTTTAATTTGTTTGTAACTCTCTAGTATACTTAAGTTAGTCCTTTCCAGTGTTTTAGCTATTATTTCAAGCTGACCATTCAGAATTGCCTAAGAAATTAAAGTGGATTTCAGGCAACACTGCTTTGACTGGATAATATTTCATGAAAATATTAGATAATAATTTTGGACAACTGGGATTATTATTGAAGTAACTTTTAATTGCTTCTTGGTTCAAAAACTGATGGAACGTGCTTCAAAGATCTCCATCCACTCCACATTCACATATTCAAAAATGATTTTAACTGTTTTCTTCATTTGACTGAGTGATCATTCTTTGTATATATTTAAGATTATATTTTCAACATCAGTCTATAATCTGCTAATTGCAAATTTAATTATGATATATATGCTATAACTATAAGAACTAGCTTTCAGTCAGTATGTCTTTTTACTTCACAGTTACTGATATATGGAATGTGTTTTTCAAAATTCACATCCAAACTGTGCTTTTTTAAGCTCTAAAGACTTAACGACTTGCTGACTTAATGACCGTGATTTTCTAGTGAAAATTCAATGGTTTAAAATGCACTGTCACCTATAACCTCACCTTGAAACAGACTGGAGATAACAACAGGAAGTAGAAAAGAAGCAGAACTGAAAGACCCAATCAGAGATTCTTTAAATTCACTCGTTGCAACCATATGATGATTGGTTGCTGCGTCGGTTTAAAAGTCAGCATTTATAAAATGCAGCATAACTAAAATTATAACAGTATTATTTTCCAAGGAATACAGGAATTTTATATAAAATTAGAATATTCATTAATGTGTTGACCTAGGGTTTTCAGTGTGTGTCAAGGAAAAATTATATCATGGTATTGAAATGTATTTAAAATGCTACAAACAGCTACCCTTGAAGAGCCAGCACACCTCCATGTGAAGAACCGAATTGTTGTAACTTTCATCACTGTGGCCTCGCAGTTTTGTAAAAAGGCCGTCATTCAATGCTTTAGCTTTGATAGTATTTATTATTGCTTTAATGCATAGTTTTAAAACAGTTAAAAATTTCTTTCTGAATATTTGCACAACTAAATGTTGTTCATGTTAAAAACAGCAAACAGTCTAAATGTTATGCAGCTTTTTTTATATATTTGCTAAAATGGCTAATATCACTGGTGCACCATCACAAAAAGCTGCAATAATCTTGAATAGGGGAATGTTATACTGTTGGAACATGTTTTCAAAAGAATGAAATATCTTCTCTTATTGTGTATATTTCCAAAGGTCTGTGTGAAAAAAACTCCGGTAGTATTTTTTCTGTAGCAGAATTATAATAATGTGCATAGATCATTAAATTGTTGTTCTTTTTAAATGTTGATTCATCCTGCAGTAAAGTGAAATGTATTAATTCTTTAGTCAGAGATTGGTTGTTCAATAGTTTCAGCCATTTCATCTACACAAAGTTAAACTGTACTGTTAATGAGCTGCAAACTTTGTAAAACTGGATCAGAATTTATTTTCATAACTGTAGTTATTCCTTCTCGAAACATTCAGAACAATAAATTGTTTACAGATATCTTCATTTTGCAATTAAATATGAAATGCTATATGATGCTTCAAGCCCTTCATCATCATCATCATCATCAGTTAGTTGGTAGAATTCTTGTCAAATGTAAAGACTGCACTTGCTTATTGTCATCATTGCTATCTGACCAAAACTTGTCAGAACTTGCCTTGAATAGGCATAGATTTTCCTATGGTTCATTATTATTTTTTCGGTTGTGTTTTCTTATGTTTCTGAGTTCTATTTCAGTATCATATAAAATGTTTATAAATTTAAAAAGAGTATTGAAGTTTAAAGTATATTAAATAATTTGTGTGTTTTTTCCTTTATATTTATTTTATATGATTTTTTCTTTTCTACATAATATAACTTTAAATCAGTAGATAATTATTTATCTGTTTTATTAAGATTTTCTTTTTGTAACCAATGAGATCATGATTATGCCAATCAACTGCCAGTGCATATTCAGCTATCACCACTTCATCATCATTGATCTCCTTCAAAATTTCATGAACCCTATTGTCCATTAAAATTATGCCTGCCTTTCTTATTGAATGTTTTGATCAGGTAATTTGGTATTTCTTTTTAAGCTTTGTCATGGAACTATTTAAATGCAATATATGTTAAGCATTTGCAACTCTATAATTCGTTTACGTTTTCTATAATAGTATCTGAGATAATATATGAGTATGAGGCTTCCATTTCTGTTGGTGCACCAGAAAGTAGATATATGCTCTTTGCTTGACTTCTGGAGATACATTTTGATGATTTGAATGCTTCATTGCTTTTGGATAATGCTCTTTAATTTAAGTCTGCTTGTTGACATTGTAAAGGTGATTCTACTGAATGCTTCCCTCTTTTAAAAATATATTTAGTTTTCCCGCAACTTTCAGGCAATATTTGCTTCTGCACTAAGAATTTTGGTTCAAAACTTTTTTTAAAAATGGTGAGCTCTTTTCTAAATCTAGAAAGCCAACCCAAACATGCTTTATCTTCATTCATGTACAATTTTTTTTCTAATCTTTTCTACTAAGTTGCACATCCATTATTTTATCTATTATAATAACACGTCACACATAATAATTAATATTATTTAAGAGCTGTCCTGATTAAGGGAATCCGAATTAATGAGAACTGCATATGAATGACAATTTCTAATGAAGAGAAATATGAAGTTAATTGCTTCTGCACATAATTCTTCACTTTCATATAGACATTTGTTATTTACATGTTTTACCTTTGATTTATAAAAAAATATTTAAGATTTTTTTAAATAAATTCTTGAAATCTTTCCAGTAAAATATTCAAATTACTCTGAAAATTCATGATTATTCTATTTTAAAAATCTTCTCTTTAAACTGTATAGTTTATTCTGTATTAGAAATGAAAAATGTGTTATTTTTTGAACGTAGTTTTGTTATTGTAAGATGCCATTTGTATGCATATGACTCTGGAAAAGAGTTTTCTTGGCAGTGCCAAAGAAATAAATATTAGTATTTTTCTTGCTTTTCTAGCAATTTTTCTGTCATATCTTTGTCATGAAAATTTGCAGTTATTGCCAAAGTTCTGAGATTTTAGCAATTTATTTTCTGTAGGCCTCCAATTTTTCTTGAAAATACTTTTTTTTCATTGCTCCAAATTGTATACTGAATTTACTTCATTAACTTTGTGGGAAATAAAAGTATAGTCATTGCTAATTCTGCTTTTCCTTGTTTAGCCATCTGCTAATGTAAAGCTAAAAAAAAAAAAAAAAAAAAAAAAAAAAAGTATATTCTTGCATTGTAAAAAATATTTTAACCTTAAATTTATATGTAAAATGGAAGTATTCCTCTAGTAATATTATAGGGGTAGCAATATATTTATACATTTTAATTTGAAAATGCTTGAATGTGGCATTTTCATTTTATTGTTTATCCAGTATTAGAAGTTTGGTCATAATCGATATTAAAAAATGTGATCTAATCATTCCAAATTGCTTATTTAGCCAGTAGAAGTTTTAAAAATGCAGTATATAATTTTAACTGGTTTGTGTGATGGTAAAGGCTATAATCAGTTGTGAAGTGGGGACAGTATGAGAAAGCAAATTAATGAAAAAAGCACAAACTAAGACTTAAAGTTTTTTCTTTTAAGACTTGTTTTATGACCTCTGCCAATACAAAAAAATAATGAATACTGATTGCCAGCTTAATTTAATTCCCTGCCAAATGAATTTGGTTACAAGAGTTTATTAACGATAATTAATTCTTCCTGTATCTGTTAATATAGATGGAAGGCTTTTCAAATACATAAAAAGGAAAACAAAAGGTCTTTCCTAAAAATAATTTCTTCATGAGATTATTTCCTGCTTTCTTTTGAATATTTTCTTAGATAAATACCTGTTCCTTTCAAATGTTGAAAAACTTGGGGAATTTCAGTTAAATTCATGAAATGTAGTATCTCCACTGAATGAGTATAATTTAAATAAAAATTCAAAACATTTCCTATAATAATTTGTATTGAGACATCTAACATGTTTTTTACATGTTAACAGCAAGGCTATTGTTGATTTCAGCATAAAATACATTTTTCTCATAATTTTGGGGTATAAAATTACATCATCAATTAATACTTCAATGATTCTGTGAATTTATATCATTAGCTGTTCTTTGAAACTCCAATGATGGATAATTTATATGAGAAAGTAAGGAATACAAATGCTGCCATTTTGATAAAAGTGGCACATCTAAATAATATTGAAATTTTTCGCTCTGAGAAAAACTAATTAATAAATTTAAATATTGTGTCCTCTTTTGTGTATTGCCAACTCTCATTCAGTGCCACAAAATTATTATTTTTGCTATGCATTTTAATTGTTTGATGACGATTTACGAATTTGTTTCAATGGGCATTTTTTGCTGACTAATTCAGATCTGAAATAGTAGGTCATTATATTAGCTCTAGATGATGTACTTATTCATGTTGATTCATAATCTCAAATATCTGCCACATAAAGACTTTTTTGCAAAATTGTTATGACTTAATTCCTTTTGTAATTATTACCATTCATCCTTAGGTTTTAGCAAAATGTTTTGGTTTCAACTGGAGACGTGTTGAAAAGCTTGCTGAAATACCAATTTTACTTGGTAAAGATGTATCTGAAATGACACTTGTAATTAAGGATGTTCTATCATCAACATTTTATTCAAGGCCCGAACTATGTTCCATTTTAGAAATAAGTGAATTTGAATTTACTTCTTTGTTGACCAAGAATACTCTGCATATGGAAGAATTTCAGGTATCTTTTTATTTAGTGAAATAATAGTTAAGGTTTCAGTAATTTAAGTTTACATTTATGTTATACATTAGCAAAGCATCAATATGATCTGCTTGATTTCAGTATAATTCACTGAACATAGCTATTAAAATTATGATTACTAAGAATTCATTAACAATTTAAGTATAGGAAAAGTTAAAAAAAATTCTTGATGTTATTGTAATATAGCTTGAATTTCACTTCCAAGAATTCTTTTGCAATAGAAGTACAGAATTTTTTACCTGTAAAAAATAAAAAGGTGACTGAAATTACACTGAAAGAGGAATAAAAGGAGGAAATTATTTTGGAAAAAATAGTTAAATTGTTTACATGTCTGGTCTGTAAGTATTGTAATGCTTGAATAATATTGAAATTTAATGCTAAATTACATAGAATTTTGGATTACCTGTATCAATGCATAAATCCATAAGATTCTTAAGTTCCATAAATCTGTGGATATACCTCTGTGCTGCATGCTTTCATGTAAGCATGTTTTAAATTGGATTAATGGACTGTTTCTGTGTAAGATAGGCAAACATTTCAGGGCTATCATAACTGTCAGAAGAAAAGGTGACATCTTCTTTCCATGGCTATTTCACAACTGCGTATCCCTCTGTTATTTTGTAGGAATTGTGGAAATTTTTTTCAAAATTTCTATATCATTAGCAGACATTTCTTTATCTTGAGAAAGTTTAGTGCTAATGGTTTTTAAATCCCCAAATCTAAAATTTTCAGTTCTATGCATGACACTTGATATATTAGCATTGTGAATTACAGATAAGGGATTAACTGTAGTTTTGAAATGAGATCTAATGATCCAACTGAAAAATCAAAGGTACTATTGCAAGGATTTCTGTTAATTTGACAGGTGGCTCAGAGTTAACAACACTGCAATAAAAATCTATATTAATCAAACTTCTGTAGTTATGTTCTGTGGTGTGTCATAGAGATTCAGTTTCTGTTTGCGAGCAAAAAGTGCAGTATCTAATGATGCAATGTGATGATATGCATAAGTGTGGCTGCTTTCAATTGCCTTTAGGGTGACTGTAGATGTATTCCAAATGCTGGATATTGTGATGCTGGATAAATGAATTGCATCTCTATTAAATTCAGGATAATGTTTCTTCAGTTTAGTAATTAAAAAGCCAATTACATCTTTCCCTTTATAGTAAGTTATACCATGAACTGCACAAACTATTTTTTGAACTCGTAAACTGTGATCATCCATGAATGGGAAGATGCAGTCAAGCATCCTAAGGCCAATAATTTAATCCATTCTGAATGAAAATATTGTTTCATCGGTGGAATTTTTAGATATTGTTCCCAGTGATGGGTCTTCATCTCGCATACACAGTAGGTAACATAACCTGCAACATATGCTAATGCTTCTTTTTCTGTGGTTGAAAATTGTCTGGCATAATTCAATTCTAATTCCCAACCAATAGGAGAAGGCTCCTGTATGAAATACAAATCATCAACAGTATATAATGATGTAATGGAAAAGCATCTTCCTCCTCAGTTTTCAAAACCTTTTCAAGTAATCCTGATGTTAAAAATATGAATAAATATTTCTGCTTTCTTTATTTATGCACACAGAGATAATTTTGGCAGCTTATTAGCAAAGTAATAATTGCTTTAAGTGATGTATAACTTCAATGGGTGATGGGTGATCATTAAACCTATCAAGTCCTCAAATCTGACTAAAGAGACTTTCAAGTGCATCCTGAGTTAATCTAGAGGTTAAAATATATTTAGCATCATGCAATGATTTCAAATCCTGGTGTAGCTCAAAAAGATAATTTATTGAAATTTTTATTCCTTTTTGGAAAGGCAGTATATGAGATTTTCCCTGAACTCTTAATCCACTGACTTTCTTCATTAATTCTAAAACTTGAATTTGTTTCTCATGATGTTCATTTAATCCAAATGCTGCTTTAAGTATTTTATCTGAGGGAGGATGTGGTTGGATGCCTTTTTATTTTCTGTGAGGTGAAGTATACCTTTTGCAGTAGTTCTTGAAAATAATGTTTACACTGGAACGACTTTTTGTCTTTTGACCATTAAATAATTTGGTTTTAGTTTGTAATACAATTTAATTTCTCCTGAATCGCTATTTAGAACCTCTTTAATAATATCATTATTTAAAACAGTTCCATCTACTAAAACAAATCCTTTATCTAAAAAGTAGTTTCTCGGTAATTTAAGACAGTGCGCAAAATCTGCAAACACCCCCCCTTTTTTTTTGCAGTACAAGATTTGGAAAGTGAAAACTATTAATCGAAATATGTAACTCTTTGCGCAAAGTACTAGATCCTGCTAAATCAGGCACTATGGGTTTCACTTCTACTCCAGATGATTGAATATGTCTTATTAGGGAAAAAAGAAGCTCTTTCTTCACTGAAGTTTAAAATTAAAAAAATATTGGTAGTTTCCACTGCAAGATGAGACCTCTGATTAAAACAAACGGCACATTTTGAAAAGGACCAAGAATTTGGAGCATAGCAGAGTTTTGAATCTATAGAATTGTCAAAACTGAGAATGCATATTTTTCCTACAGGATTCAAATATTTGCATCTTTCCTTCATTGGAGCAAGAACATCATTTTGAATTCTTAGACTACACTAAAATTTAGTGCACCATTTCTTTAATTTGCTAATACTAGGTAAAGGAATTCCAATTTTTTTCTTTCCAAAAATCATAGCTTTAAGATGACAGAGCTCTTATGACAATGCAGTGTGAAATATCTTCACTAGTCCACTTGAGTTTTTCCGTCTTTTCTAGCATTGCATTAACACGTCTTTGTAAAAACGTGTTTTAGTCTTTTTTCCAAATTCTCCGGTCTGTGCTGTTTTTTTTTTTTTTTTTTTTTTTTTTTTCTTCTAAATTTCGCTATTTGAGATTTCAATTTCTGAATTTCTGATACAAATTTCTTTCTAGATGTCGTCCACCTTTGTTGGATTGTCACTGAGTAAACTTTGTCACTGAGTAAACATTCTAAAATTTTTCTTTTCTCTATTTTTCAATATTGCAATGCAATTTTCTAAGGATATTATTTTGTTCTTCAAGTTATCAATGCATTCTTGTTTATATCTACACTTAGGACATTCAGGAATATTTACATTGCCATTTGTGAATTTTATTTCAAAATCATTCACACTTGATTTATTATTGCCATCATCAATTTTGTTTTCCACCTCAAAATGAACTTTCTTTGGACTTAATTCATGTAGTCTTTCATAAGCACTCTGCATTAGTTTTCTTCACTCTTGTGTATAATTTCTTGGTGTTATTTCATTTGCTGCACACAGTAAATTCATTTTCAGCACAGCATTGCATTTCAAGTTTCTTTTACGGCAAGCCAAGCAAGTGATTTTTCATGTTATGAAAATGTTTGCTGTAAATTATTGCACTCTTAACATTAATAAAATCCTGTCTTCAACATTTATGTATCCATTCTTTTGTCAAAAGCAAATTGTGCTTTGAAAAAGCATGAAATGCAATCTCTTCCTTTTGTATTTCTATAAGTGTTATGGCATGTTGCTGCAGTGCAAGAAGCCATATTACATAAACGATACTTTACAATGTAGAATCTTAAAAGGAAAACTGACTAAAACTATATATGTACAAATTATTTAAATAATATTAACATTATTAGAAAACAAATATATATGTTTAAAACTAATTTGGGATACGTATCCTCCAGAAAATCACCTTGCAGCTGTATGGAACTACAGTTTTAAATGCTTGAAACCATAGCAGATGCAACACAGTGACGTCAGATTATCTCCGATTAATTCCCTGTAAGGCTCATGTCAGCGATGAGTCACTCAAAGGAATGAACTAGCCCTTTCTATTTAACCCTGATAGTATCTGCTTATCCACAGCTGAGCCATTTAAAAAAAGGAGCTTCTTAATTTCATCCCAGGAAACAACTGCAAGCCGAGACTTGAGGTATTCTACTCTGTTAAAGTATGTGGTACTCATACATTGTAGATGCTTACATACCCAGTCTTCTTTAAAGGATCTTGTTCTGCACTTTTGGCAATATTTAGTTTGTCTCATATTTCTTGAACTATAATAGGGAGATTTTTGGAGGTAGTGTCTTTTAACTGGTTTTTATTTACAGAGGATGGTTGTTCTGAGGAAGCATAGTTGAAAGTTTCTTTTAACTGGTTCTTATTTGCAGAGGATGGTTGTCCAGAGTGAGCTAGTCTCCGAGGCTACAACAGTCTGTAAATTTTTCAGCAGCAGAACAAGCCACCAAATCTCTGCTGTTCTGAGTTTTTTTATGCTTTCTTGGCATCTGGCAATTCACATTTATTAACCTTCTAAAGCCGGCGGTAGAGCAGTTGTACCAGGAAAATGACTTTCTTTAACGCCGGCTGTGGTACAACTGTTGTACCAGCCATCCCCTCCCTATTTTAGGGAATCGCCTATCTCTAGATCTGTGGGTGGTCCATTGTCGCTGTTCAGAATAGCCACTGGCTACGCATTGTTTCCCTCTTCTTATCATTTGGCTAATTTGGCAAAACTGCAGGTTTCGTCTTGCCAATATACTGAAAATCAAATACAACCATCTCTTTCTCAAATGTTAGAGCACTGTCATAATTTTAGAGCTAACTTTTTAGTAACTACTTTTGCTATGTTAAAAAGTCAGCGATTTTGCAACGCTGTTTAATCTACCATTTAATGCTTTTTAATCAAGCAATAAGATTCGATTGATATTTTAGCTTTAAACCGTATTTTTCGCTGTATAAGACGCACCGGCATATAGACGCACCCAATTTAAAGGAGGCAATCAGAAAAAAAAGATTATGAACCAAATTCTGTGTAAATATTTATATCAACTGTATAAAGTTAACAGCAGTTTAAAAAACTTTTATGTCAACCATGTAACATACTAAGAGCTATCTTTACTTTAAACAGTCAGCAAACTGAAAGTACAAAAAAAAGGCATGTTTTATTCTAACCCAAGAATTCCT